TGTCTGTGAATGTTTAGAGTCAGAATGTGATTCAGACTCTGACTAGTCTGAGTGTAAGATGATTTCGTTTAAGATAAAATATATATACTTTATATCTTACATTTTCACATTTCACATGCATAACCTCTAAAACCTCCTAAATGAATATAAAAAGATTTTCTCAGTAAAACTTTATATTTTATCAGTTATTTTCTTTATCTTATTACTATGTGGACTTGACTGATCTTGTAACCACTTCCAAAAATATACAAAATAAATTTATATTACTCTTTTTTTTATTTCTAGAATGACTGCATATTGTAACAGCAAATTACAATTATCTATCACAGCTTGAGGCTTATAAGGTTTACATTTGTTTTATTGCTCTTTGAACTGTCTCACTAATAATCCCACAATGTAAGCTATTAATGATATGGTGAATGTGTAGCTCAAGTTATGGTATTGAATAATGTAACACAAACTAATTGCAAACATATCTCGTGGAGAATTTTTCTATTATTATTTTTTCACTATCTAAATTTGTCTACCCTAATAAGTTTCTGACTTCTACATTTTAGTTACCTTTATGACAAAAAATAAAAAAAATATGCACAAAAAACAAGAAATTCAATACTTATGTTTGGCATTTTGTTTTTACTCTTGGCTCTTTTGCAAAACTTAACCCCAGTTCCTTGTACCAGTGTTACTAATAGCTAAAATAATTTTTATTTATTTGAAATATGCACTTAAGAACAAAAAATAATATGCACAAAGCTATTGTACTTTAATTATTTCTAATAAGGGTAAGTGCTTTAAAATAATTCCATTAGCAACATTGAACATGAGGGTGTAATAATTAAAAATTTGTTCATTGAGCAAATTAGCATTATATGTCATACGGTAAAGTAAAATTTGTCTTTTTGTTATAAATGTTGTAATAGCAAACATCAGAGAGAATTATTGTCAACTTGTGAAAGAGAGGGTGTAATAGGAGTGTATGGCAAGTGAGTTTGAATTTCTGGTTTATATCTCCATAAACTATAATGAGTAATTTATTTTAAAGTCAGGACATCATAGAGGAGTGATGAAAAAATAGAAAATGGGCAAGTTGAAGCAAACAAATGTCATGTTACACAGATAATCTTCAGTCATTCTAGAAAGAAAAAAAAGAGTAATTTAGATTTATTTTATAACTTTTTTCCTTTTAATGGTTACGAGGTTGGTCAAATTGACCAAACCTGTATAGAGA